TATACTACATTATGAGAACATAAAAAGAACACACAAAAACACACAAACATGAGTGTAATAGAAAAATGTACTATGTTTAAATTTTTAAGTTTATGGCAGTAAAAGATATATGGACATCGAGCCTCCTTAAAATACTCCCCCATGCTTGAACACACTTATCCACCTTTCTATTGCTCTTACCAGTTTTTGAAGCAACTCTAGAGGCTTTTTTTTAATGAGTCTATTTGGTTGCACTCTCGTGGCCTCCTCGGCTAAATTTATTCAAAACATCCACCTTTAATGGTCATTTTGACTTTGGGAAAAGAGCCTTAAGTCACATGGTGCCATATCCTGTGGATAAAGTGAATCTAGACACACTGTAATTAATGCTTTTTGGTTGTTGTTGTTGGTTTTTTATTATTGAGTTTATTGGCACAGTTGAGGTACACATAATGATCACACCCATCATAAGGAATTTGTGCCTGTACATGATATATCTTGCTTCCTTTTTTGTTCCCCATTTCCCTCCTCTCCCTCCAACCTCTTTCCATCCTTATTTACAAAGCTTTGATTCCTTTTTACCCTTCTTTTCTCATTTTTTTCTTTTCCCTTACTTCCTTTCAACCCTGCCTTTCCTTTGGATGCCCCTTGGCAGCAGCATTTACCACATTTTAAAATCACATTTCCTAAAAACACTCATGAAAGAGAACTTCTAGACTGCTTCAGAAAGTGGCAAGAATGATGGGGTTGCTGCGTTTCAGGCAAGTGGGAGTATTTTGAGGAGCATTAATGACAAAGTACCTTTTATTGTAATATGATTTTTAAAAATTTAAACACTGATTATACTGTTTGGTGTATATATACAGACATGTACTAAGATACACTGTATCTCTCTGCTTAAGAAGGGAGAATTTGATTAAGCAAAGCATCCTGCCAAAACTGATTTCATCTGTAGCACATTGTTTACTTAAGAGTGTATTGTTTTGTTTTCATGTACCATTTTATTAAGAATTTATAGAGATATGCACGTTTGAAACAACAGTGAAATGCAGTTTGAAAAACACAATCTCAAATATAAAATGATGTAAGTAGGTAAGTGCAGTGATGAAATTCACTAGATGATTAAAGATATCTCAAAATAGAAATTGGCTTCAATTTTGTCTCCAGGTATTTTGGGGGGAAACCAATCCAATTTGATCAGGTAAATCATGCATTTATTCATTCAAACAACAAAGTTTTAAACAACTATTTCATGTTAGGAATTGTTTTTCTGTTATAGCAGAGAAAAAGAGGAAAATTTTGGGCCTTTGAGAACTTCCATGATTATAACTATGAAAGGTTTTACTTCCATGATTATGACTATGAAAGTCCAGAAACAGTGTCAATACACTAGATGTAAACTAAGCCAACCTCTCTATAAACTATAAAGTAAGATTTCTCACTGAGAATTAAATGGCTATCCACTTGATAAAGGGACAAAAGAATTAGCTACAGTCTTGGAAGAATTTTATCTCAAATCAAAGTGACCTAGAGTAATCTCAGGGAGACAGGATGTTAAGTGAGTTTAGCATAATAAGTGATGAAAGTTAACTAGTGATAGGAAATGTGGAGCAAATATGGTGAAAACAGGAAAGAGCGATGACAGTCCAGGGTGGGGAAAAGTCTTTTAAGATAAATACTGCTAGTGCCTCTGGAATCACTGCTTGGGAAAAAGGGAATTGTATGAACATCCATAGGTATAGCATTTCAAGTGTTGTAATGGTGGCCAACAAAACACAAAAGTCGTGCTTGCTGTCCCAGCTAGGGCCCAGCTAACTTTTGGACCGAGAAACACTACAACCTGCAGTTGAGCCCAGGGAGCAGGTGGTGTTCAAATAGCTGGGGGGAGACCCCTGACCTCCTGTCCTCAGAACTGGCATCTGGCAGGACTGTGGATTTTCACTTCTTAAATCAGAGAATTCCATCTAAAGTTTGCTTCTGAAGCAATATTTATATAATCATAACACTGTGAATTATTTTTCTATTTTACTTACAAAAAGAGAGATCACTTTTGTATATTGATTTGCTGTATAAATTTCAGATCTAGTACAAAATTAGTGGTCACAATAGAGTAGAAAAGAAGAAAAAGTGAAACAATCATAATATTTCAGATATAACCATAAAACTGTGAAGTAAATGGGAGCCTTATAAATCAAAAGGGATTGCTTTTTTATAAAATTGTAAAAAAAAAAGCAGAAAATATAAAAACAAAGCCTAATAAAGTTATTAAACTTAAAGTTTGGTGAAACAACCCCACAAGTTTGTGGATGAGTAACCATATAAAGAGGAGAGATAAGAGACACATAAATGGTATTTTAGAATTTTCCAAAACTGTTTTGGAAAATGAGACTTAAACGGGAAAGCACAGATGTCCAAAAAGTCTCAAAGTTAGAAAAACTCTCCTCTGGGTATAATTTGCACACATACAGAAAGACAATCTAAAATATGTATGTATTCAATAAATGTAAAATTTATTACCACTCATGTAAAAATGATGAAATCTAAGAGAAGAAATAAAAATAATTCAAAAACCAAAAAGGTATGATATTAAAATAATGGTATGAAAAATTCTTTTATTGCTACTAATAATGTACTAAAATGTGCATTATGGTAACAAATGCAAATAGCATGTTTATTTTGCATTACAAAATTTATTGCTATGGAAAGGGCCTTAAAATGATTCCTTTAGCATAAAGGAGCAAGCTGTGATCAATACATATTTGATAATACAATGAAGAAAAATGATGTGTCTAGGATAGAATTATAAGAACATTTGAGAAGGGATAAATAAGATGTAAACATAGGTCAATGGATTGGAAAAGAATTCAAAAATAGATCCAACCACATTCAGTCACTTGGCTTTATACAAAGATACCTGAATAATTCAATGGGAGAAACATTTCATAACAATTTATATGCATCAACACCTGTATGCAACTCAAAAATCTCTGAAAGGCAAATGAGTGTGGTATGTTTACACACTGAAAGACTACTGAGCACTGTATTTTGAAAGAAGCATTGCGCTAGCACACATCATTTCATGATTGGCTCTATAAAGCATCACCTAGAACTGAAGAAGTCAAATACAGGAGTACTACTAAGCAATTCCATTCCTATAAACTTCAGTGCCAGGAAAATCTAATTACAAAAATAGATAGCAGTTAGAAATCAGAACAATGGCAGGAATTGGGAAAGTGATTAGGGTTTTCAGTAAACTGTAAGGCGATGTGGGAGATTTGGGCAGTGGTACAGGTGCATTCAATACTCCTTGAACTGTACACTTAAAATGGATTTTTTTCTTCTATATAAATGTTAGCTGAAGAAAATGGAAACCTGTATGTAAGAACCTGTATGTATCCTTGCTATTATCATAGAAATCTAAGCACTTACAAAACTGCTAGGTACATGGTCATTTAATGATCATTGTTTTTCCTTTTAAATATTTTACTAGCATATATTTGGATACATAAAAATACACTAATGGTACAGAAGTGATATCCATGAGCATCACATCTGGCACTTTTTACTTCTTCCTTCCTTTCTCACTGTCTGTCTCCTCCACCCCTGGTCTCCTTCCACTGACTGGTTTTCAACTTGATTTGTCCCTGTTAACATTGAAACTAAACATTTTCACACTGTTTATTCGTTTTATGTGAATGTTACTTGTACATTTTTTGTTCAGTTGTTGTTTTTACTTTTATTGGATTACAGGAATTGTTTTATGTCTGGAATTTTAACCTTGTGTCTGTTAGAATGTGTCCTAACAGAAAAACTGCTCTCCTTTGTGGAGTAGGGGACAAGAAAACACGGAGGCAGAGCATCTGCCGTCTTATACGGGCTCAGCAACTCATACTCTGTGTGACATGAGACATTCTTTTTTAAAATTTTAAAATGAAAGAAGAAAAAGTGTAAAAACGATAATACAGAATTTCAAAACAGAATAACAGAGGATTAACAATGATCAATGTGTTATGAACCGCTGCCCTCAAAGTAGTTGTTTGGATCGCCAGACGTTTGCATGAAAAATGATCCCATAATGAAAGCGCAAACCGTCCTTTTAGCTGGGCTAACAGAGACTAGCAGTCCATTTCTTCCCTCTTTAGACATTTCCTCCTCTTTCACTTCCACAATATCCACTGTACACTTTGGATCCCACTAACAGCCTCAGGTTCCCACACTAGGAAGAAAACACAGTATTCACCGATGTGAGTCAATGTGAGAAGTTCTTGAACTCTATTTTCAGCTTATAAACAAGACACAATTTCTTCTCTTCTGCCACGCAGTTGTTATGATGATAGAAAAAAAAACACATAAACATGAAGTTCCATTGTGAAATCCAAAATACAAAGAGGAGAGATATCTATAAAGTTCTTTAAACTTTTTATCAGTCTTTACTTTTATACTTCAATATTAGAAAACATAATGAAAACTCCTGGATATTAAGCACATCCTTGGTAAACCAAAATACATATTGTGGGAAGATGGTTATAAAAATCCATTAAAGATCAATCAAGTCTAAAAACTTTATACTGAGTTGAAAAATGAGGGAAGAGATCTGTGATAAAATAATATGAAATTTTCTGCAGGAGAAGTCATATAGGAGATTCAAGAGGGAGTGGAAGGGTAAGTTTGATTTCATTGAGTATGTATTGAGATCATAGAGCATTATTTCAAAATGTACCACAGAAAACCAATTGCTGGATAAAACAAGATCCCAAGATAATTTATGGTAAAAAACAGAGAACACACATACTAGTGCCTCTTACACTGGCCAGGACCACCTGGAAACATTGCCAGGTCATCAAGACCTCATTCCTTAGTTAAATTGCTCAGGTAAATTTTTGCTTTTTCTGTACTATGTGGGACCATTATGCAGTATGCTTCTGAACAGAAGTTTCCAGGGTGCAGGAGGAAATCGGAAATAATATTCCAACACAAACACTGTTATAATTATTGAATAATTTTGTGTAAAAATCTCAGTGCTACCATGAAAAACAGAAGAGCATTTTATTCTTATGAAAAACTCTTCCCAAGGCTCCCTTCATGTCTCTGTTCCTCAGGCTGTAGATGAAGGGATTCAGCATGGGAGTCACCACCGTGTACATCAGAGCCATGACGGTCTCCTTCACAGTGGAATTATTAGCTGATGGACATAAGTAGAGGCCAATGATTGTCCCACAGAACAGCGACACCACAGAGAGGTGAGAGCCACAGGTAGAGAAAGCTTTATGGATTCCCTGAGCAGAGGGAATCTTGAGGATGGATGAAAAAATCTGGATATAGGACACGGTGATGAGTAGGAATGGAATAATAATAATTAACCCTCCCATGATAAATATCACTAACTCATTAACATGAGTGTTGGAGCAGGCCAGCTTCAGCAGGGCAGACAAGTCACAGAAAAAGTGGGGGATCACATTGTTCCCACAGAAAGATAGTCTTGCAGTGAGCAGGGTGTGCAACAGGGCATGGAACATGTTCAGCATCCAGGACAGGGTTGCCAGGCACACACACAGCTTGGAGCTCATGATGCTGGTGTACTGCAGTGGGGAGCAGATGGCCACATAGCGGTCATAGGCCATGGCCACAAGCAGGAAACTCTCCAGATCTCCAAAAAGTATGAAGAAGTACATTTGGGTGAGGCAGCCTCGATACGGGATGGATGGGACTTGGCTCTGCATGTTTTGCAACAGCTTGGGAACAGTCACAGAGGAAAAGCAGAGGTCAGAGAAGGACAAGTTGCTGAGAAAATAGTACATGGGTGTGTGGAGCCGGGAGTCCAGTTGAATGAGGACAATGATGATGAGGTTGCCCAGGACTGTGGTAAGATACATGGTGAGAAACAGGGCATAGAACAGGTGTTGGTGCTCTGGCTGGATGGGCAGACCCAGCAGGAGGAACTCTGAGAGGACGGTTTGGTTTCTTTCCATCACTGACCGTGTTCAGTACCTTTAGGGGGACATAATAGAATTCCTTAAGTCCAAATAAAAATGGACATTTGTCTACAATACACAATCTGCTAAATTCCCAGCAGAATTTTCATTTCACCATCATTAGAACAATTATAATCTCAGCCACAAGTGTCTACAATTTGAATCTTCCAGATCAGATATGATTTGTTTTTTCATTATACTTTGACATGAATTAGAGATGGAAAATGAAGCGCAGAAGCTCAAGCCTTCTCCAGTGGGTGTGGATGGCTCTTATCTACTCTCATCCACTTGTCTGTAAACAATAAAATATTTTGGCCTTCTCTACCCACTGGAAGGGGCATCCTCAGTTAGTACAATTGGATCTTACTCCTTCAGCTTCTGACATGTTGATGTTTTCTAACCTTTAAAGCCCTGAATTTTAAGGTTCAATGATTGTCTTTCATTGACAATAGATGTCAAGTGAAATTTCCCTATAAAATTACCCCAGGAAATTTCTACTTTTTCTATATGGAAAAATTATTTGCATGAGAACTAATTTCTTTTTTAAAAAATTTTATTGTATTGTATGTGTTTGCAGTTCATGCAGTTTATTAAAATCAATCTTTCTCAGTCTCTGTGTTTCCACTTCAACATCTCTACATAGATACACACATTCTCTTGCATACGTATGGTTCAGCTTCATAGAAAACTGACATCACTGGCAGATACTGTAAGTGATGATGCAGTGAGCTTCCTACCTCACTGATCCGTGACATTAGAAGTTATCAATCTGGAGTCCATGTGAGAATCACACAGTGCAGTTCTCATACAAACCATAGATTCTCATTCAATAATTAAGATTCTACATTTTTAGTTAGCACCCATATAAATTCAACCCTGTGGTAAATGGAATGACTTGGAATAACAAGGATATAGCTATTGACTTTAAATGACATACTGTTGGGTTCTCACAGAAAATATAATCACAATTTCTGAAAGGCAGCCTGTCTCTGTTTTTAAATATTCCGTAGATGACTAAAAACAAAATATTGCATAAGAATGACTGAGTAAAAGCCTTACAAGCTCACATAACTACCATTATATGGAAGTGACATAAAGTAATCTGTTTTTGTTTTGGTACCAGGACCAAGCTCACAACTTTGCATTTGCCAGGAGGGTATTTATGCCACTGAGTTACATCCCCAGCCCCATACAGTAACCTTTTAAGAATATACTGCTCGATGATATTCATTAATGCTACTGTCAACAATTATCTCTGACAAACATTAAACAAAATACATGTGAAATGCTGAAATGTTGAAAGGCAGATAGGCTTAGAACAGAAAATTGTCACATCTAAAACCCTGTCCTGCATCATATCAAACATTCTGGGAAAACAAAACCTTCAGGTTAGGAGAAAATTAATGGTTAGGTAGTCATCATCCTTCTCACCTTACCTAGCATGTGTGAGAGTTACTCTGAGGCTCTCACTTGAGATCATCCTCCCTATATTCAGTACGGGCATGGGAAGTCTCAGCCAGTGTAATCATAATCAGTGTCTGCACTACACTTCATTCTACCCATTTCTGGGCTTCAGGGAACCTGCGTCCCCAAGGAGTTCAGATCCTGGAGTAATTATTTCAAGACAAAGGACCACACTAGAACAAATTCTTTCATAGTCCTGCAACAATGACCTAGTACAGCCACTGAGTACACTTGACTATATTTGGAGAAATTTGGGAGTCACAAAAACTCAGAGATGGATGCTTGTTATTTTAGATAATGCTCTTGAATCTTTTGTGACTGAAATGTACTTTTTGAGAGTGAAAAAAGATGGCTGGAAAAATCGTTAATCAGGGAATGAACCAAATGATTCAAATTAGCTTAGGGAAATTTACATAAGACATCATCAGTGGTTCTGAAGCAGTGTATCACAATAAAGGACACATGCTTTGGAAAGAAACTCAGGTGGGCATCTACTACACAACTCCATATCACCGACCTCTGGGAATGACGGACAATGCTGTTGAGAAGGATTGGCTTTCTGTGATCTAATGTTTTAGATATGCCAACAGATGGAAAGGAAGGAGTGCAAGATGAACTCCTGTTAGTGCCTTTCCTTCCTGTCACTACAGTAAATCATAAGGCAATAGCTCACATTTCTTCTTCTACCCACTACACATTCCTCTTGTACATGGCAATCATTAGCTGAATGAGTTGCTTTATCTAGTGATATACATTTTTATTCTTCAAAATTTTCATTCTCTTTGGTCTTGTGTTACTTGTGTTTTTTTCCAACTTGATGACTTTGTTTTTATTTGTGTAATTCTCACATGCTGTACTATATTACATAACAAAACATAAAGCTACAGTAAAGTGCAGCACACTCAACAAAAACTACAGTACTATATAAACAAGGTGTACTGTACCAAAAAGAAAAATACTGGGGGCTGGGGATTTAGCTCAGCGGCATAAGCGCCTGCCTTGCAAGCAGGCAGTCGTGAGTTCAATCCCTGATACTGATAAAAAGGAAAAAGACAAAAAAAAAAGTACTAAGCAAGCCATGCAGGGCCCAGGAAGAGAGAATCTAGATCACCCCTTCCATGAGCTTTCCAGCATGTGGGCTGAGAATCAAAAAACCCCACCTCAACTCCAGCCCAGGTAAGTGACCAGCGGGTTTCAGAGGACAGGCTGAGTTGATAGTAACTGAGATATAAAAACAGCTGAATGCTTGCATTGTTTGATTAACTTTGCATGCCTGGGGCTAGTGGCCTGAGCATCTATTGAGAGGATAACAGCACACAATGTAGATTTCCTTCTGTCTTGTTTTTCAAATCCAATATTGTTCTCGCTGTTTTGTTTTGTTCTGATTTATTGTTTTGCTTTATTGAATGTTCTGTTTTGATTGGTTTTATTCTGTTTCATTTTATTGATTTTACTGTGTCTGATGGAATGGACAACTATTATGAAGATAACGAGATAGACTATGGTAGCCATTGTTGATTTCCTATTATCCTCCTTCGAAGTTCTGTGACACTTTTACTTCTTTGCCTTGGTTGGTCTTATCCTGTGTTGGTTTTTTTTTGGTTTTACTACCTTTAAAATAAAATTTTAAAAATCACATTGAGGCTCTGTAAATAACATGTACAGAAATGTACAGGAAAGATGGGTCATAAATCTGAAAAATGGGACCTGAGTACAAAAAGTACACCTGTCATAAGTCCATACAGTGGTTAAACAGGTAGGTCATTAAACAAGGACTATCTGTAATGACTACAAATGAAAAAGCTTTTTAAAAATGAAATTTAAGATACTTTCTCAAGAGTGGGGCTTCAAGGTATACTCCTATAATCCTACCACTTCAGAGACTGAGGCAGGAGATCTCAAGTTCAAGTTCAGCCTGGGCTACATACCAATATCCTTTCTTTAAAAAACAAACAAAAAACACCACCTAGATTTTCCAAAGGGTTCACAAGAATTGATTTTATCATGTGTGATGTTATCAACAGCTACTTAGAAGAAAATAAGACTTTGTGGTAGTCATTGCTGATTTCCTATCATCTTATTAGAAGTCTAATAATGCTTTTATTCTTTGTTTCGATGATTTTAGTCTGTTTTCTAATATTTGATCTCAGTGTAGGTGAAGTAATGGACAGCTATTTTGAAGCAAATAAGAGACGTCATGGTACTCATTGTTGATTTTCCTATTGTCTGGTTTTGAAGGACTGTAATGCTTTCATTCTTCTGTTTTGATTAGTTTTATATTATTTTGCTTTGTTTGAATTCATTGTGTGTGAAGATATGTTTTCAAAGAAAACAAGAGACATTATGGTAGCCACAGTTCATTTCCTGTTGTCTTGTTTTGAAATCCTGTGTTGATTGCATTATTTTGTTCTTATCTGCTTTGTTCAATTTTGCTTTGTTTTATACTCTTTAAAATAAAAAAATGACCAAAAACAAAATGAAACAAAAAAACTCAAAAAATGAATAGAAAACATTCCCTAAGGCATTGTAAGTAATATCAAAGACAATAGCTGAAAACCAGTTTGACTAAGGAGACATTAACCACAAATAACTCTACACAAGTATACAGGCAGTACTTCAAATTCATGATCAATCAGCTTTTGGGTTTACAAATGTAATTGGGTAAGTCTGCTTCATGCTGATCGATGTCCAACCCAGTTACAGCCCAATTATCTGGAATCACTATAGGCAACATGGCCTCACACTTGCTTCTCGTATAGTACAAGAACTGTGTGTAGACTTAATCACTGTATTTACCAACTGTAATGTAATAATTTGCTTATGTATAACCTTCACAACCACAACTTGCAACAAGAACCACATCTTGTTCATCTCATTTTATCATCAAGACCTAATCCCTAGTGGGTTCTCAATTTTCCACAAAATAAGAAATAAAACTAGGAATGACTTTCTTAAGGTTTGGGGGGGGTGATTTTCTTTACTGGTACAAGGACATTGAAAGAAAGCTCAAGAGTACTTATTTTGGAATCAAAATAAAATGCAGACATACATGTATGCAACAAAGTCTCCAAAACAGAGGTTTAATTTCTTAAGATTTATATAACTACTTGTTATTTGTTAATTTCCTAAGATGTCATAAGTCAGCCTGATTTGGAATAAAGAAGTTTAGGATCCCGACGAGAAAACCAATGTTAAACTGTTTTTTGTTATTATTAGTGTATCTTATTTTATTTTGATAATGTCGGGGACTGACAAGAAAACCAGTGTTAAATTATTTTTTGTTATTATTGTATTTTTTAAATGCTGGGGACCAAACCCAGACCCTCGCACATACCAGGCAAGCACTCTACCACAGAGCTGCATCCCCAGCCCCAATGTAAATCATCAAACAAATCAACTCTAGATTCAAAGCCTCTGCTATAATAATCTCTGCCTACCCAGCCATAGTGGTGCCCACTTATAATCCCAGTAGTCCAGAGGCCGAGGCAACTTCTGGGAGTTCAAGGCCAGCCTGGACTACAGAGTAAATCCAA